GCCCGGGTCAGAGGACCACAGTGTCCGCAGCTTCCTCCCACCCACCCAGGCCCAGACCTCACGTCCTGTGGGGACAGAGACTAACCTGCTCTCACGGGGTCTATCGCTCCTTTATGCAAACTGCCCAGTGGTTCCTGCTTGCCGGGAATGGAACCCCCTGACCTGGCCGTGAGCTCCCCCTTTCTCTGCCCTAGCTGCCCCATCCTGGCCTTGCTTCCTGGAGTGTCCAGAGACACAAGGAAAGACACAGCCTGAAGAGGGCTGTCAAGAAGGTGCCACATCTGCAAAAAGGACAGAATGTTTCAGAGGGGTCAGAGGGATAGGTGCCAAATCCCTGGCAAATCAGCTGGGGAGGGAGAGATTTTTTAAGTACCAGGAAGGAGCAGGTGTGGTCACGGGGCGCACAGCCTGAGAAGCTGGCAGTGACTGCATGCTGAGACAATGAGATGCGGACTGGACCCACTTATTTTTTTTTTTTTTTGAGACGGAGTCTCGCTCTGTCGCCCAGGCTGGAGTGCAGTGGCTGGATCTCAAGCTCACTGCAAGCTCCGCCTCGCGGGTTCACGCCAATTCTCCTGCCTCAGCCTCCGAGTAGCTGGGACTACAGGCCGCCCGCCCACCGCGCCCGGCTAGTTTTTTGTATTTTTTAGTAGAGACAGAGTATCACCATGTTAGCCAGGATGGTCTCGATCTCCTGACCTCGTGATCCACCCGTCTTGCACTCCCAAAGTGCTGGGATTACAGGCTTGCAGCCACCGCGCCTGGCCATTTTTTTTTTTTTGAGATGGAGTTTCGCTTTTGTCACCCAGGCTGGAGTGCAGTGGCACAATCTTGGCTCACTGCAACCTCTGCCTCCTGGGTTCAAGAGGCGCCCGCCGGTGGCCTCAGGTTCGCGCGCGCCCGCGGGTAGCTCGCGGATTACAGGATGGCAGCCAGGAACCAGGGAGCAGGGGACCCCCAGGCAGGTGGGAGGAGCCAGGACTTGCCCTCCAGCCTTCCAGAACCTGAGACCCAGGCTCCACCAAGAAGCTAGGTGGTCCAGGCCCCTGCCCTCCCCTTCCTCCCGCCCTGTCCTCCTCTCCCTCAGAGGCCTCAGGACCCAACAGGTGGCAGGCAGTGGACAGGGCGCCCGCCCCACAGTGCTTTCCCCAGCACTCCAGAGCCACTCGGGATGCCCCCTGGTGGCTGTGGAACTGCACTGGGTGGCGGGCAGATGGTGGAAGGCAGCCTAGGAGACCACACCAAAGAGAAGATGGACCGGCTCTTACTCCCAGCTCCCATGGGGCCCGGGGTGGGACCAGAGGTCATAGGTGCCCAACGGCAGCCAAACCAAAGACACTGGTGTGCGTGGAGCAGCATGGTCATGCATGTGGGACCCTGGGGCGGTCCCAGGAGCCAAACTCTTGAAGCACCCCCTGGGTCAGGCCCAGCAGCGGGGTGGCCAGCCCCAGTTTCCCATTGCTCCTCTCTGCGGCCGGGGCCGGGTGGGTTCATATTTACAGATATGCCCAGCCAGTCCTGGTCGGCCACACCGGTGTCCCAAAGAGGAGAGCGCAGCAGGGCCAGGGTCTGTTCTGTAGCAGCCACCCCCCTGCCCCTGCTCCACGGCAGCCGTGATGTGCTTGGGCCCACCAGGGTCTTCCGGGCTGCTCTCTTCCCTGAGCTCAGAACCGGCGATGCACATGTGTCTTTTGTTGGTGTGTTTGTTTGTTTGTTTGTTTTTCCAGGGAGGTCTAATTCAGAAGCAGTATTCAAGGTTTTCTCTTTATCAGTGCCAAGATGACCTGTTGTGTCATATAATTTAAGCAGAGCTTAGCATTTATTTTATTCTTTAGAAAACTTAATTATTTACTTTTTTAAAGCTATTTTTCAAGGAACTTTTTTTGCAGTATTATTGAATTTATTTTCTAAATCAGGATTGAAACAGGAATTTTTCCAGGTGGTGTTAATAAGCCATTCAAGTGCCTTACACAGCTTTGAAGAAACTAGGACTGCAGTGGGCTCGGATAGGCCCACTGAGGTTTTTAGAAAAGCAGGATTTGTTTTGTTAGGGAGGCATGATTTTGGTGAGATATTTCTGGAAGAGTTTTCCGCCTCTTTGTGATGCTGAGCACCCCCAAGTTTCCCCCCAACCCCAGGTGACTGGCAGGAGCTGCGACTGCCGTGTGGTGGTGCCTGGGCCCGACAGCGGGGCTCTGGGCATCCCAGGTGACTTTGGCCCATCTGCCTGCATTCCCACCCCCTCGGGCCTGGCTGGATCCCGGGCAGAGGGACCTTGCTGCTGTGTGACTGGAACATTCCCAAATGTCTTGTGAATTTGTAATCAAATTGGTCTCATTGGGAAAGACGCTTAATTAAGAGACTCAGGCAAGCGCAGAGGCAGCCCGTGTGTCTCTGGCTTAGTCTGGAGGCAGCGGCGATGCTGCTGGGAGTCCATGGCACCGGCCACAGCCCCTCACCTTGCCACAGTGGCTGGTAGCACGCCTGTCTTGCTCTGCCCCATGCCCTGAGCAGGCATGAGAGCTCCATGTCCCCTAGCGCACCCTGAGACGGGGCTCACAAGCGACGGTCCTGGGTGCCTCAGGGAGCTCACTGAGGGTGTGCGAAGTTGAAAGTGGCAAGGCTGTCAGGTAGAGGGAAGAGGTCAGGTGGCTAGGGGAGGACTCAGAGGCCTCCTGCAGGGCCAAGCACTGCAGAAAGGGCTGAGCTGGAGGTTGACAGGGCTGCTCCAGGCAGGTCAGAGCAGGGCAGGGGGAGGAGAGGAGAAAGGGAGGAAGCTGGGCTGTGTGGTCTCCATAGAGGCATTCAGAGTCTACCTGCAGACAGCAGGAGCCCCAGGAAGGTCTGCACAACTGTACCCCAAGCGCCTCGGCCTCCTCTCAGCTTGCTGAGGAGGCACACTAGAGCCGCCTTCCTGACGGGAGCACTCTGTCCCATAAGGAGCGGGGAGCCAGGCTTGCTGGGGCCCCACCTGCACACCCAGCCTTACCCTGCATTCTCATAGCACAGATAAGGTTGAGACCGTGCAGTTGATGCATTGCTTAAGGTCTCTTACAAAAAAAAACACCTTAAACATAGTCACTGTCATTCAGACATTCAGAGAATGGTTGGCCACCAACAATGACCAAATATTGCTTGGCTTAACTTGAAGGCCTGCTGTCTCCTTCTGGGGGTCAGCATCCAGAGTCCTGGTGCCCTCTCAGCACAGGCCCAGTCAGACACAGGGACGCAGCTCCACCCTCACCACCAGCCCACCCTGCCTGTGGGCATAACCTTGACGAAGGGAGAGAATGATTGGCATCTGCTTTTCTCTTTTCTTTGCTAATAATTATGTTCCTGGCTGCCAAGAGTAGAGTTTCACCCTGTGGAGGTTCGGCTCATATCACCTGGTGGTCTGATTCATACCTTAGCCTGAGGCTCCACCAGAAGATCTTGCAGCCTCAGTGTATGGGAAACCCTTTCCCCAGGCTTGTCCCAGTGCCACCGCTCCCCACCCCTGAGCCAGGACCCCAGAGGATGGCCATGCCCCATGCCTGGCAGAGGTCTGGTGCCAGCACTGGGAGCTGCTCTGTCCTTGCTTTGGGGCCGAGGGAGCCCTCATCCACCCCCGCACAGCAGCTGGGCACAGAGGAGCGCTCTTCCATCTTGACCAGGACTGCACCGAGAAGCACCAGGTGTCTTCAGCCTCCAGCCTCCTGGGCGACCTTCTCTTCCAGCCACAGTCCCATGAGGTCCCCTAGCCAGGGACACTTGTCTGTAAATTGTAATCC